CTGGTGGTTGTCTGGCTTAATGTGCATCTTTAACTTCTGGACAAATCTAATCCAGTTTGCACACAGTAAGGAGTAGAGAGGCCAAAGACTCCTTATTGGCCTCCCAGGATCCACCAAGTCCAAGCATGAAAGCTGTCACACTCCTCTCCTGGGAGGTCCTCCATCTCTGCCCCGGGCCACACATGGTTTAGGCCCAGTTTGAGCAAATGTGGATCTTCTCATAAATCCTTAGCACCCCAAAGATAAGCATCTGGAGACAACTTTGAAGCAGGAGGAATGAGAAACTGCACAGACAGAACCCAACAAAGCACAGCGGCCTAAGCCAGTCACGGAAACACCTGTGCGCTAACTGACTTTATGGTGCACCTGAGCCTAGAAAGAAAGAGCACAGAATGACTGGTTAATCATGAGACCTACCAGGAGAAACAGGGACATCTCAGCAAGATCCTGTGTCCTCCCACCCCACCCCCCCACCCCCCCACCCCCCCGGCCGCCACAGGTTCTACAACCAGGGAGAAGCAGGCTATTTCCCGGGTAATTTAAAGAAATGCCAACTAAAATAGAGAGCATAGTCCAAGGCCTACCTGGACTAAGTTAGAACAAGACCCTATCTGAAAACAAAAGGGCAAAAAAGGGAAATGTGGCTTCGTGGTAGAATGCTTGCCTAGCATGCATGAAGCTCTGAGTTTGATTCCTCAGTACCACATAAACGGAAAAAGCCAAAAGTGGCACTGTGGCTCAAGAGGTAGAGCATTAGCCTTGAGCAAAAGCTCAGGGACAGTGCCCAGGCCTTGAGTTCAAGTCCCAGGACTGGAAAAAAAGAGCAAGAAGGGCTGTGGGCATGGTTCAAGTGGTAGACTGCTTGCCTAGCAAGCATCAGCCCTAAGTAACTATGAAGATGAAAATATAATGAAACATGTTTTTAAACCAATGATCCAGGCTGGCAAGTCTGTAGATGAACAGGAAGACTTATGTGTGGTCTATAAGCCAGATGCCAGTGGCTCAAACCTATCATCTTAGCTACTCAGAAGGCTGAGATCTGAGGATCAAAGTTTAAAAGCAGCCCAGGCAAGATAGTCTGTGAGATTCTTATCTCCAATTAAGCAGCTAATATCAGAATTGGAGATGTGGCTCAAGTGGATGGAGCACAAACCTTGAAAAACAAAGAAACAGCACCCAAGGCCTTGTGTTCAAGCCCCAGGACCAGCAACAAACAAACAAAAAAGTCTGTGATTGTCAGCCTTTTACCTCATCCAACCACTCCTGGGAAGCTAACTGAAACAATCAATTCAAATAAAAGGAGAAAATAAAATCCCCTAATGAGGGCTGGGAAGGTGGCTCAGTGGTAGAGCGCTTGCCTTGCATGCCTGAGGCCCTGGGTTCGATTCCTCAGCACCACATAAGCAAAAAGAAAAAAGCTGGAAGTGGCACTGTGGCTCAAGTGGTAGAGCGCTAGCCTTGAGCTGAAGAGCTGAGGGACAGTGCCCAGGCCCAGAGTTCAGGCCCCACGACCGGACCCAAAAAATAAAAAAATTTTTAAAAATCCCCAAATGAAACAATAAGACTACTGGTATGTAATTCAATGAAACATGATACAATGATTCAAAAGAAAAAACAGGCCGGGTGCTGGTGGCTCACGCCTGTAATCCTAGCTGTAATCTCAGGAGGCTGAGATCTGAGGATCGCAGTTCAAAGCCAGCCCGGGCAGGAAAGACTGCGAGACTCCTATGTCCAATAAACCACCAGAAAACCAGAAGTGGCGCTGTAGCTCAAGTGTAGAGTGCTCACCTTGAGTTGAGCTGAAGAGCTGAGGGACAGCGCCCAGGCCCAGAGTTCAAGCCCCATGACCGACAAGAAAGAAAGAAAGAAAGAAAAAACAGATGCCGGGCATAGTGGCTCATACCTGTAGCCTGTAATCTTAGCTATGCAGAAGTCTGAGATCTGAGGCTCGAAGTTCAAAGCCAGCCTGGGCAGGAAATAAACCACCAGAAAACTGAAAGTGGTACTGTGGTTCAAGAAGTAGAATGCTAGCCTTGAGCTGAAGAGCTGAGTCACAGCGCCCAGGCCCAAAGTTCAAGCCCACAACTAATACACACACACACACACACACACACACACACACACACACACACACACACGAAAGGAAAAGAAAAAGAAAAAACACGTTATTCATAGATTTTTGTTAGTGAGGGGGGATGTAGACCAGGAAACTACAGAGAGCACTGATTGTATACAAACAGATAAAGATTGAGAACAGGGCTGGGAAGGTGGCTCAGTGGTAGAGCGCTTGCCTTGCATGTCTGAGGCCCTGGGTTCGATTCCTCAGCACCACATAGCAAAAAGAAAAAAGCCGGAAGTGGTGCTCTGGCTCAAGTGGTAGAGCACTAGCCTTGAGCTGAAGAGCTGAGGGACAGCGCCCAGGCCCAGAGTTCAGGCCCCACGACCAGACCCCATCCCCCCCCCCAAAAAAAAAAGATTGAGAACAGCCACAGAAGACAGAAACAGATGTGTTTTTGGTTGCAGGATTATAAATTCAGTTTATTTACAGTTCCTGTAAAAAATTTTGGCGGTTTTGTTTGATAAATAGCCTTTTAAAGAAAGTGTGCCATGGGGCTGGGAAGGTGGCTCAGGTGGTAGAGCGCTAGCCTTGAGCTGAAGAGCTGAGGGATAGAGGCCAGGCCCAGAGTTCAGGCCCCATGACCGGACCCCAAAAAAAAAGGAAGTGTGCCAGGCACTGGTGGCTTACACCTGCAATCTTAGCTACTTATAAGGCTAAGGTGAATGTAAAGAAAAGTCCATGAGAAGCCGGGCACTGGTGGCTCATGCCTATAATCCTAGCTACTCAGGAGGCTGAGATCTGAGGATCATGGTTCAAAGCCAGCCCGGGCAGGAAAGACCATGAGACTCCTATCTCCAATAAGAAAACCGGAAGTGGCGCTGTAGCTCAAGTGATAGAGCGCTAGCCTTGAGCTGAAGAGCTGAGGGATAGCGCCCAGGCCCAGAGTTCAAGCCCTACGACCGACAAAAAAAAAAAAAAGAAAAGAAAAGAAAAGTCCATGAGACTCTATCTCCAATCAATTAGCAAAATGCTGGACTAGAGGCATGATTCACGTGGGAGAGCACCAGCATGAGCAGGAAAATCAACTGGGCTGGGCATCTGTGGCTCATTTCTGTAATCCTAGCTACTCGGAGGCTATAATTTGAGGATTGAGGTTTGAAGCCAGCCCAGGTAGGAAAGTTCCTGAGAGTCTTATTTCCTACTAATCACACACACACAAAAAGCTGGAAGTGGAGCTGTGGCTCAAGTGGTAGAGGCTAGCCTTGATCAAAATGAAGTCAGGGATAGCCCCAGGAGTGTAACAAACAACAACAACAAGAAAGTTAAGGCAATGTGGAAATCCCTGAGTTCAAGGAAAGAGGGAAGAAAGGGGGGAAGGAAGGAGGGAGGGAAGGAAGGGAGAGGGAAGGAGCCAAGGAAGGAGGGTGAGAGGGAGGGAGGGAGGGAAGGAAGGAAGGAAGGAAGGAAGAAAGGAAGGAAGGAAGGAAGGAAGGAAGGAAGGAAGGAAGGAAGGAAGGAAGGAAGGAAGGAAGGAAGGAAGGAAGGAAGGAGTGAAACCCGGACTTCCAGCAAGTTGGACTTGTCACTTTCTGTTGGGAATCAGGATGCCTGGTGCATGCCACATGGACTGTACACATATCTGACCCTCCCTGGAGGACCTGATCAGGTTTCTGTGCAAGTTTCGGCTGGCATAGGCATCAACTATGTAATATAAAGGGAGATCCATGAAGAAAAGCCAGGTGCTGGTACACGGGAAAGTATGGGAGAGTTCTATGCATTTAAACTGGAACGGCTGATGTAAGAATAAATGCCACACTGTGCAAATGCCCATCTCCTACTTAAGTCTCTATCTTGTTGGCATCATGATAGTTCTCAAATCAGAGTGATCTCAAGTGTTAGAGGTGGTGCAGTTGATCTCTAGGCAGGGTTAAGAGGCTGGCTACCTGGTTTCAGGTGAGATCTGAAACAGAGAGGAGTAGCACTTGCCCAAGGTCTCAAAGTCAAGGATGCTGGGATAAATAGCACCACGCCCTTGCTGTCAGATGCATATTTTCATTTCAACAAGGCTCAGGACAGTCTTACCATGCCTGGTAACAGTCTTCCTGCCTGGCTGGATCAAGCCACTGTGCTTTGTGCCATAGCCTAACTTAAACCCAACTCTCTACAGGGCCTTCAAGTGCCCAGCCTGTGGGGACATCCCAAGAGGCCATCAGGGTAGCCAACCAACCAACCCCTAGAGTCTTAGTTATCACCTCTACAAATTCCACTAGCCACTTCAAAGTCCTCCCCAGCTAGGCCTGCATAAGGCTTTCCTGCCTCCTGCTCAGAGCAGGAAGACTGCAGTCCTGGCTTCTCAGGATCTTAAAAGTGGCCTGATTTCTCAGTGTTCTGGCCTATAAAATGGGGATAATCAGATTCAAGTTCCAAGGACTGAGTAAGGTAAGAAAAGTGTTGAGCACAGGGAATACACAATAACATCTCTGAGCTTGTAAATGTTTTCCTCATTACAGGCTCTTGCCTATCTAATCAGGAGGCTGGGGGCTGAGAATTCACACTTCAAAGCCAGCCTGGGGCCTACAAAGTCCAAGAGACTTTTATCTCCAGTGTACCAGCAAAAATCTGGAAATGGAAGCGTGGTTCAAGTAGTATAGCACCAGCCTTGATAAACAAAGCCAAGTGAGAGCATAAGGTCCGGGGTTCAAGTCCCAGTACCGGCATACACACACACACACACACACACACACACACACACACACACATTTTTTTTCTTCAAGTGCCAAACACAGTACACATACTATGGTATGCGCATGCGTACCTACTATTGATCTTCCTCTGGGAAAGCCTAGAGCAGGATTTCACAGACCCCAGAGGGTGATCCTTCTAGGTCTCCATGACAGCACCCCCCTCCAATGCCCTGCCCCCTCTCCCCTCCCCCACTCACAGCTCCAGGATGAGCACCACGTCGGTGCGATTCTCATAGACGTCATGCAGCGTGATGATGTTGGGGTGCAGCACCTGCCTCAGGATGCTCACCTCCCTCTCAATCTCCTCTCGGCACACGCCCCGCCGGCTGGCCCGGCTCTGTCGCTTCTTGATGAATTTGGCGGCATACTCCAGCCCCGTGCTCTTCTCCTGGCACTTCTTCACAATGGCAAACTGGCCACTGTAGAGACAGAGATGGCGCAATTAGGATGTCCCTGTGGTCACTGCCGGCTACCAGGACCGGAAGTCATAGGACAGACAGGACAGATACTGGGCGCCCCTTCTGTTCATAGGAGTCTTTTACTTTTCCTTACAAAGGGATGTTAAATAAGGTTATGCCCACTATTAAGAAGTGAACACTGGTTGGGCGCTGCAGCTCACGCCTGTAATCCTAGCTACATAGGAGGTTGAGATCTGAGCATCCTGGTTGGAAGCCAGCCCAGTCACAGAAGTCCATGGAGACTCCTATCTCTAATTAACAACCAAAAAGCCAGCAAGGTCAAGCTGTGGCTCAAGTGATAAAACACTAGCCCAGCTAGGCACTGGTGGCTCATGCCTGTAATCCTAGCTACTCAGGAGGCTGAGATCTGAGGATCGCAGTTCAAAGCCAGCCTGGGCAGGTAGGTCTGAGACTCTTATCTCCAATACACCACTCAGAAAACCGGAAGTGGTGCTATGGCTCAACTGGGAGAGCGCTAGCCCTGAGCTGAAGAATTGAGGGACAGCTCTCAGGCCTAGAGATAAAGAGTCTCGTGGACTTTCCTGCCTAGGCTGGCTTTGAACCACTCAGATCTCAGCCTCCTGAGTAGCTAGGATTACAGATGTGAGCCCCTGGCACCTGGCTATAGTTCATTTTAATGGTTTAATTACAGGCCACCAGATTCATGACAAATTACACTTGATGAGATATGGTGAAGATCTTCCCCCATCTCAGAAAATAGCACTGCATCTAGACCTGTCTATTATTAGAATAATCCTTAGAGCAAAGATCATCCAAATAACCTGCATGATTTAAAAAAAAAAAAAAAAGCCCTAAAAATCAAAACAAAGTCAAGTGAATCAAGCAAGGAAGAGATACACCAACACTTAAATAGCATTCGATGACCCACACTTTAGAGATGCTGCCAAACATAAATCCATTTATCTCTCCATCCACCATTCTCCATTCACTCAGCATTGTCTGAGTATCTGTCCTGTGATTGGACGGCATGGATATCAGGTACAGAGGGAGAGCTGAGGAGGAAGAAGTCCCTAGAGGCTCTGCCTAAGCAAGGAAGGCTTTGGAAAGCCAAACTAACGATTACATGTAACCACCACCTAAAGTTTTAGCTCTTTGGGTCCTACAGATTGGCTCTGAGTTGCGGTCCACGCCCTGGAGAGTGACGCAGGTGGCCTGAAGCCAGAGTGAACACATTCAGCGCCATCTCTAACACAGATGGTCACTTAGAGAGTCACTTCGGGCCTCAGGGACATCGGGTCCTTGACTCTGTGCCAGGAAACACTTTTTTTTTTCTGGTCCAAAGCAGCTGTGAGTCTTAGTGTAGGTGTAGCACACTCTTCTCCTGACATCTTAAGAGGCCTGCTGACAGAAGCCAGCATTCCACAGTTCCTTTCTCCTGAAGCCCTGAATTTCTATTTGAACCACATAGAAGAAGCAAAGCTTAAGGTGTGTGTGTGTCTGTGTGTGTGTGTGTGTGTGTGTGTGTGTGTGTGTGTGTGTGAGAGAGAGAGAGAGTCTTGCACAAGTTAAGCAAGCACTTGACCACTCAGCTACACTCCCAGCCCTTAGGTTTTTGAGACAGGGTCTTGCTAGGTCATCTAGACTGATCTCAAATTCACAATCCTCCCGTCTCAAGCTTTAGGATTTGAAGTTGTGTGGCTCAAGCTTAGAGCATGCAGGTGGAGATGCAGGGTGGAGTTTGGGACCCAACTCCACCCCTCCCGCACACACTTTTCAACTCCCCCCTGGCTGCTTTGACTGTATTAAGACCTGCAAAGAGATAAAAGCAATTTTGTATAGCAGACCTAAACATTTCAGGTTGCCTTGACCCAGCATCCTCTTTGTCTTCTGAGGACAACAACAGCATTTTTTTTTCCTGTGTCACATGCCTAAAAAATTCCTCAAACTCTCAAAAAGAAAAAAAAAAAGAAAGCAAATGAGTGTTTGCTTTTCCCTCCTGAATTTTCTCTTTATGAGACAAGAGGTAAGTGGGAGCAGACCCAATCCTCCTCCTTCTAGAGGATCCTTGGAGAGTGGAAAGAGAGCAGATAAGACAGACCAAACACCAGACAACACCACTTGAAACTCTAGCTGGGCGCTGGTGACTCACACCTGTCATCCTAGCTACTCAGGAGGCTGAGATCTGAGAATTGTGGCTCAAAGCCAGCCCAGACAGGCAAGTCCGTGAGACTCTTATCTCCAATGAACCACTAGAGAACCAGAAGTGGAGCTATGGCTCAAAGTGGTAGAGTTCAAGGAGCGGGCCCAGGCCCAGAGTTCAAGCCCAGTGATCGGGGCAGGGGGAGGAAGGGCACCTATCTGCTTTCTCCTCTCCTAGAACTTTTAGGGAGTTGCAAAGAGTATGTTCTACGAGGCCTCTGCCCTAGGCTTTGGGGTTTAGCCAGTAAGAGCAAGCTTTAAGGTTAGACAGGCTGGTTTGGAGAATTTACGTTATCATAAGTTATTATATGTTATCACTTAACTAGGTTAAGTGGCTACCTGCTTTAAGCTGTAAACTGGCCATGATTTCCAGCAAACAACTGTGAAGACTAGAAATATTTGTAGGGGAAGGAAGGCTGAGCATGAGGTACTCAGATGTAAGATATAGCCAAGGGACCTGTATAATTTTTTTTAAAGTGTCCCGTCCTCTAGTTCCTCTATGCAACCAGATGTGAGAAAGTCTGTGTTTGGGGCAATTAGCTAACTCTTTTAACTCCTAGAGCAGTGGTCCTCAACTAGTGCTTATTAGAATCCTTCCAGGAGACTGAAAACTTAACTGGAGTCTGGGTCTCAGGCCCAGAGGTTTGGATCTCCTAGCTCTGGGCTGCAGCTGGCAAGGGAGATATTTAAAAGCTTCTGTGAGCCTGGTGCTAGTGGCTCACACCTGTCATCCTAGCTACTCAGGAAGCTGAGATCTGAAGAACACAATTCCAAGCCAGTCCAGGCAGGAAAATCTGTGAGACCCTGAGCTCCAATTAACCAATAAAAAGCCAGAAGTGGAGTAGGACTATCATTTCCTTTCTTAGCTTGTTTTCCCCCTTCTTTCCTTCTTTCTTTCCTTTTCTTTACTCTTCCTTTCTTTCTTTCCTTCCTTCTTTCTTTTCTTTCTCTCTTTCCTTTTTTTTTTGGGGGGGGGGTCCCGTTGTGGGGCCTGAACTCTGGGCCTGGGCCGCAGCTCTTCAGCTCAAGGCTAGCGCTCTACCACAGCACCACTTCCAGCTTTTTTCTTTTTGCTTATGTGGTGCTGAGGAATCGAACCCAGGGCCTCATGCATGCAAGGCAAGCGCTCTACCACTGAGCCACCTTCCCAGCCCTCTTTCTTTCTTTCTTTCTTTTTTTCTTTCTTTCTTTCTTTCTTTCCCCTCTCTCTCTCTCTCTCTCTCTCTCTCTCTCTCTCTCTCTCTCTCTCTCTCTCTGCTAGTCCTGAGGCTTGAACTCAGAGCCTAAGTTCTGTCCCTGAGCTTTGCTTTCCTCAAGGCTAGCGCTCTACCACTTGAACCACACCTGAGACAGAACCACACTCCTGTCTTTTTGGTAGTTAGAGGTAAGAGTCTCTTGGGCTTTTCTGCCTGGGCTGGCTTCAACCATGATCTTCAGAGCTCAGTCTCCTGAGTAGGGAAGATGACAGGCATGAACCACCATCGCCAGGCCTTAGCTATTAGTATCCATGAAGTGGAAAGTCAGGAGTTCATCAAGGTATACAAGGGTGGCAGGGCTGCACAGAGGTTAACTATCAAATAAGAAACTCCAAACACAGAGGATGTGGAGACTAGGTTCCTCCTCCTGCTACCTCCTCCCACCCCCACCCCAACAAGGGGCCGCTGTACTTCCTTTTCCCAACCAGCAGAACAAAGAGCCACAATTCCTCTGGAATTACCCTGCAAGTGTTCAGGGCCAAAAGGCCAAAATAAAGCTTAGAAACCGCCACGGTACCACCCCATGCACAGCCTATCAGGTGCAATTACCACCCCATGCACAGCCTATCAGGTGCAATTACCACCCCATGCACAGCCTATCAGGTGCAATTACCACCCCATGCACAGCCTATCAGGTGCAATTACCACCCCATGCACAGCCTATCAGGTGCAATTACCACCCCATGCACAGCCTATCAGGTGCAATTACCACCCCATGCACAGCCTATCAGATGCAATTAACCCTTCAGTCCATATGTCTCAAACATAAGAACAGCTCAAATCTGCAGGCCACAGGAAGCCCAGGGGACCCATACCCATTCCAGGGACTGTGTCTTGGAGACCTTTCATTCCTCCACCTGGCCAGGCTCCACTGTTTAGCTGATTTTATCCTTTAGCTCTCAAGCCCTTTGTAATTTGCCCATCCTCTAGCTCTAATTACTCTCATAATACATAACAAGATCATAAACAAGATCTTTTCCCCCTGGGCTGGGGATGTAGCTCAGTGAATCCTTGCCTGGCATTTGGAAGGTTTGGTTTTGTTTGTGCCAGTAGTAGGGCTTGAACTCAGGGCCTGGGCTTTTTCACTTCAAAGGGAGTGCTCTACCACTTGAGCCACAGCTCCACTTCTGGCTCCAGAATCCATTGGGATTCTGGAACCTGATTCCACCTCAATGAACCTAATCCTCAGATTTCCAGCTTAGACAAATCGGGCTGGGTGAGAGGAAACTATGCATGGAGCTGAAGACAAGGGTGCCTTTGGGATCCTGGGAAATAGAAAATACTTCAAGACACTGTTACCCAAGATCAAAGCAAGCAGGACAGCAGACAGCCCGAGAAGCCAAAATAGAGTGGAACAAAACAAAACAAAACAACTGTTTATCAGGAGTCAGAATAGGAAGCAGGTCAGGATTCCAGGCCTGAGAGATGAGGGGAAGGATCAATGTTTTTGTTTGTGTGAGGGTCCTGGGGCTTGAACGCAGTGCCTGGGTGCCGTCCCTGAGCTCTTGTGCTCAAGGCTAGCACTCTACAGCTTTGAGCCACATC